CCTTCCCCCCCCCCCCCCCCGTCTTCTCCCTATTTAATTCAATTTCTGGCCTTTAATTCATCATGCTTCCTGATTGGAAACTTAGCACATTGCTCTCACTAATGTTACCTGGTTGCAGATGGGTAGAGCAGGTGTGATTTGAAACACCTGGGACCATCTGGCACCTGACTTTACAACCAGCTAACTAAATGAATGGGAAAAAAATGTTTAGATTGAGTTACATCCTGCTGGGTATTTACTCTTTGCTTTCCACTTGCATCAAGTCTCCAACTTAGACAGGTAAATCAAAAAGCACATCCCGGGACCTGCTGATTTATGACCTGAATGGCTGTCGTAGAATATTCATAGGTTGATTCTTCTCAATTTGCACCTCTCTCTTAAGGTATGTGAACTTCCAATTTTTTTATACAGCTTGAGCCAATGCTTGACTTTGGTCATAAACCAGTACATTTTTTTTTACTATTACAGTACTGGATCTCCCTAATTTTAAAAAATAAATTCATCATTACAATCCCACCCCAATGTATTTGAGCCCACTCTCTCACAAGTCACCTAGTTGATAAATAAGATTAATTAATGGCCATTAAGATTTCACTATAAGAATACTTGACTTGTTATGTGTGTACTGGGGAAAATGTATGTATCTTAACAGATGTAATTTATCATGTTTGCTAATTAGAATAAATTGAAAGAATAATTACTGTGTAATACTTTTGTTTTCTCAGCAGATGGTAGCAGCTGGCTTTTTCTAGTCTTAGCAGCTAAGCAGGGGTTGGCCTGATCTGGATTTGGATGGGAGACCACTTGGGTATAACAAAGTTGTAGGCTAAACCGGAAGTAAAAATATCAATACAAACAAACAGACAGATGTAGGCAATGACAAATTACTTCCTTAGCATTGCCAAGAAAATTGTATGATTGTGTCCAATCACCAGTAGTCAAGCTTTGCATAAGCGTAGGGGCCAGCTGTGCATTTATATACAATATGCCTTTCAGCTTAATGTTAATTTTTTAAAAAAGTTATTTATTACAGTTTCCTTGTAGAGGAATCAAGTTCAAATGCAACTTTGCATACTACTATGCGAAATAAATCTTACAGTTGAGTAAAATCATACTAGATGAAAAATGAAAAATGGTTCCAGAAACTTGTCTGCTCCTGCCAATAAAGCTTTATCTTTTAATATCTAACTTAGATTTTTACATTTTATTTTTCCTATTTTTAAAATCTTATTTTGTTGCTTGGTATGTGTTCTTTTCCTGTATCAACATGTGCTTCTGATTCCTTAGGCCAAATTTTGATTTATTGACATGTAAATATGTACCTCTGTCAGACTGTCTTCTGCTGGACCCAAATTTTAAATGCTATTCACAGGCAATGGACCATTTTCTACCAAGATATTGCATCTGAGAGCAGAGAGAGATCTTACAAATCAGTCAGGAGTTATTCCTTAATAGGAACCCCCCCCAACCGCCATTTATAAAAGGGGGAACGTTAGTCCCCCTTTTATAAAGTTAGTCCCAATCTATCTTAATTTTGGTCACTAGAACATTAGCTGAAATTGTAATTCTGAATTACAGAATGTTATGCAGCCTGAAGCACACAAAAAAACAGAAGCCAGATCAAGCAGAAAGTCGATGTTACCTCGTTTCGAATAACCGATGCATTATTTTTAAAGTTTGCCCTATCAACTTTTGGGGGAGCACTGCATGATTGTTGATTAAACTGAAATCAAAATCATCACGGTAGTAAAACATTTTCATCTGCTTCCCCTCTTTAAAAGAAAACAGAAAACATCCACGATAGCGTACAACTAAGAAGAAAATCAGCCAATGAGCCCCAGGACTTAGAGGGTGCGCCACAGTCTCTCTCACCCGGCGCCCCCACCTCCTCCTCCTCCTCCTCCTCCTCCTCCTCCTC